GAGTGAGACTCCATCTCAAAAAAAAAAAAATGTTTCACGTAATATTCGGTACCAACGGGCGTGCCACTGAGATGGGCGCTCACATACAGTCGGGAACATACCAGGAATGGGTGCTCTGAAAAGGAAGGTAACATCTGTACCAAGAGCAGTAAAACATTCAGACTATTCAACTCAGAAATTGCACTTTTAGGAATCGCCAAAGGAAATCAGAGCTACGCAGAATATTTACACAAAAGGACACGTCCTGCAGCAGTCCCCACAGATCCCAGAATGGGCAACCTGCACGCTCAGCCACCGCCAGCCAGCGGCGCACACCCAGAGCGGAGCAGCTGCAGCCACTCAAATATTAAGTTTTAATGACAACAGACAACATTTACGGTGTAATTTATATGATGGCTTCAATTACAGTGGAAAAACTATGCACGGGGAAGGGATGATTTTCCTTTTCTCCCTCTGCCTCATGCTTTCCTCCCACTCATCTACTGAACAATCATTATAACCACAACAAGGGGGTTGTGCAAGAAAAAGCCTCCCAGTCCCCAAAGACGACAAAACCACGCCCTTCTCCTCCTCCCTCCTGGGCTCTTGGTGGCACCAGACCCAACGTGGCCACTCCCCTGCATGGCAGCCAGAACTCCCACTAAGAAGAAAACCTGGATCCCCTGGTCCTGGGGCCCAGGCGGGCACTGCACTCTCTGATCCAGGAGAGGAGTCCCCAGGCTCCCTGCGGCCCAGGTTTTACGTGTGAAGTGCCTAGGGCAGGAAGCTCTGGTGTGAAGACCACCGGAGCAGTATGGCAGAAATCATCTCCCAAGCAGAGGACCATCTAAAATGATCCTGTCGCCAAACATTCGGAAGTTTGCCTTACCATGTCTGCTTAAAATGAAGGGTTTTTAAAAAATCTGTTTTTAGTAAAAATCTAATTAGGAACATATTGACCACATATTCCCTTCTCATCTCAACCAAAGGCCTCTCTAGGCAATGCAGGTGACAGTGACAGCCCCTGCCCAGTCCCCAGGTCCTGTTCATTGGCCCCAGTCACATGCTCTGGGTAACATCTGTCCCCATCACAAGGGTTTGTCCCTTGATCTCAGAGAAGAAAGGGATTATGAAGGGAAGGTGGAAACTGTTGTGTGCCACAGGAACAAAGGCTCTCATCTAAGGCCACCCCCACCTGGTCCACCCCACCAAGGAGCCCCCCAGGTTCTCAGGGAACAGCATGGCACTCAAGACTGACTGTGAACCCAAGTCACAGGGAAAGGGTGGGAAAGAGCCCAAGAAAAAAACATTCTCATGGTGCCAGCATGAGGGCAGTGCCCACTTGGCATTAAACCACAGCAGTGCCAATGCACTGTGCAGGTGCCAGGGTGGCAGATGGGAGAGCAGTTGAGGCATCAAAGACAACACGGGAGCCAAGGAACAGAAAGCCAGGGGAGGCTTCCTGGAGGAGGAGGCATCTGAGCACAGACTGAAGTGAAGGGAGGGGAGGAGGCAGAACAGTGGGGTAGGAGAGCAGCCGTGCCAGGTGCAGGGCACGCAGGCCCAGCACCAGGAATTTCTGGAACCTAACAAGGCTTCAGAATCACAGAGAAGGGGGAAGGGCACAGGTCAAAGACGAGGCTGCAGGTACCGAGAGGGCATACCATCAACCTGCGGGTCCTGCTGCCATCCTCTGGCAAGGAAGCACTGTCTCTGCAGGGCAATGTCACAGAGGCTGCAAGCCCACTGACGGCTCCAGAGAGGCCCTGCTGCAGAGAGGATCCCTCCAGAGAGGCCCTGCTGCACCGGGACCCCAGCCGAGGTGGCCCAGACACCACACTTGGGCTCCAGATGCTCTCTGTGGTCCTAAATGAAGCCTACATAATTTCAGGAACATTTCTGGGGTGGCCCGGGCAAGACCTTGACTGTGCCTCCTCTTTGCGTTGCCTTCAGGTGAACGGGAAGAGGAAGGAGGGAGGTTCTGGCTCTGAAGCACCATCAGGACCCTCTGAGTGACAGCGGCGGAGTGTGGGGTGCTGAGACCTTCTAACCGGGTGGTCCCCGGAATGGCTGGCCATTTGGCTGCTGCTTGGGGATGGCCACAGCTCTCCAAGACCAGCCAGCGAACGTCCTTCCAGGGCAGTCTTACAAGCACTCTGGCTGATGTCAGCAGGTGAAGCAGCCCTCATGGCGAACACAGGACCAAAGAGGGACCTGCCAGCACTCTGCTCACACACCTGTTCCTCTCTACCAAGGCAGCCAAGCACAAACAGCCACTAGAAGTTCCAAACCATATTCCAGGAAGATGTCAAAAACCTGTCCATCTCCACGTGTCACCTGAGTGTACGCCCAGCTCAGAGCAGCCCAGGCGGACACTGTGCAATGGGGAGGCTGGCAGCTGGGAAGAGCCCCACATCTGTTACTTGCATCCCAGGCCCACCTTGCCTACACCCTCACAAACTGCAGCAGGGGCTGGGAGGGGCTTGGTGGAGAGGTTCCGGGAGTCAGCCTTGGGCAGGGAGACGGACAGAGACAGGAGGAAAAGAGAGTCTCAGTCCCCAGAGAACAAGGAGAGGGCAGTGCAGAGCTGGACTGAAGACATCACGGGAGGGCCAGGGTGACACCTGAGTCTCCCGACATCAAGCCCACTCAATACTGGGCACCCCAGCAGGGGATGGGCACTGTCCCTGACAGAGAGTTGCTGGGTCCCTAGGCAGATGGGGGAAGTGCATCCCAATTGCCACAGCACAGCAGTTTAGCCTAGCCCCAGCCTGGGCCAGAGGACTCAGGTGGTGGGACAGCCTCAGCAGGGGGACCTCAGTGCAGCTCGGTCCAGCAAGCACAAAGCCAAGAATATCTTGGCCTTCCAAGGAAGCTCATTAAAAAAACAATCTACCTAGTGCCTGCAACATAAATGCAGGGAGTGGAGGCGGAGAAGAGGCACTTGGAGGGCGGGGCACTGTCACCTGCCTGGTGGCACAGCCCACTTGCAGAGTGGGTGGCAGAGGGTGTCTCCTGAGGGCCCTGGAAGCCCCTCCCCACTGGCCGCATGCTGCTGAGCTGGCAGTTTCCAGGCTGGCAGCCCACCTCGGCGAGAGGCATCTGTGTTTTCCATTTTTGCTCCACACATGCTTTCTGGGCAGGGGGAGCTGGGCCCCTCTGGTGCACCACCTGGGGCCCCACGTGGTCCTCACACTCTCGTGGACAAACTCTGGAGAAAGGAGGCCAAGGCCTTTCAACCATGGGACCCACAGGGGTGCAGGGCTGCAGGTAGAGCATCCCGGTTGCAATCCGGGGCTGAGGTGGCCTCTGCTGAGCAGGCTTACTTCAAAGGCTCCAGCTTCTTGGCAGCCTGAAGCTTCCATGCACTCCTCTTAAGCTCCTGAGCTGTTAAGTCCCTCTGGCAAAGGGGGCGGCCCCCACCCTCTCACCCACAACAGGCAGGGAGGCGCCTATTGGGATTGGTCGGTCACCAGCTCTGGGAGCCTACTGCTCTGGCTGGCAGAAGGGCGGGTGGGGGCATGGCTGCAGTCCCAGGCCCAGCTCAGCCTAGCAGAGGGCGGCTGGACCAGGTTTAGGGGGCTCTGCAGCAGGAATATGCATCTGTGCAGAGCAGACCAAGGCTGGGCCAGAAGCAATCCTTCAGGGACCCTAGACAGGCAGCTCTGTGACCACCAAGTGTAAGGGGCCCAGAACATCACCTCCCAAGCTCGGAGCTGGTGTGTGTGTGATGCCCCTCCAACTCTAGGACCCCAATTTCCCGACAGTCTGAGAAAGACCACAGAGCAACGACTGAGGGCTGTGCAGGGGAGCAGTGACTTGGACTCTGCTCAACTCCAGGCTGGCCAGACCTTTGAGGCTCCCCAAGCACACCTGAGAGCCTGCAGCCTCTGGACTCAGAGACAGCCACACACCTACAGCCGCCCAGCCTCCTACCCCCAGCCCATCTGCAAACTCAGTCCCAAGGCAAATTTGGAAGAGAAACAAAAAGCAGGCAGGAAGCCCTGCTACTGGCCCTTCCCAGCCCAGACTTCAGGGAGGAAGGCAGAGCAGGGCATCCCTGCAGGACAGATGGGCACCAACCAGAACAGGAGGAAAATAACCCAGCAGCACCCCAGGTGCCCCTACAAACTGCTTCCCAGGAGAGCTGCCCCGGCACCCTCCCATGTCCTGCTTCCTTACTGCTGCTCAGCTCTGTGCTCCCCACCTCCCGCAGACATGGAGCTGTGGGACCCCAGGGACGGTGTCTGCAGCACAGGTTCCCTGGACCAGCTCGGCTACCCCCAACCTGGCTGGTGGCTTCCTGGGGAAGGTAGGTCCTATCGTTAGCTTTTGTTCCTTTCTCCAGGCAAGCCTGTGCTGGAAGAATTCGGCGGGTAGGCCCGCTGAAAGGACAGGCGGCACTGCCTCCTCCCCGCCCCCAGCCCCAGGTCAACAGGGCCTTTGTTCTACCTGCACACACCGGCAGGAAGGCGGGCAGAGCCAGCCCCCTTCCCTGGCAGCTCCCCCACCCTCTGAAGGCAGGCACTCTAGGCACAGGGGCGGCCCCTCACTACTCTCACTTCCACTTTGGGGACCACAGCACTGGAGGGGCACGGAGAAGCCAACACTCCAGGTGGGCCAGGCACACCCCCGGAAGCCCTGGTCCCCAGGGCCGGCGGGCCAGACCTCATGGCGTACTGCAGGTGAGGTGGCCCGAGGGCAGTGGGTGGCGACCCTGGAGAAAACCCCAGCGGCTGCGCAGCCATGCCGGCAGTGGGACAGCACGAGGCAAGAAGAGGGTGAGAGCGAGGTCAGAAAGCTCAGTGACAGCCGGCCAGAGCAGAGGAGCTGGGAGCCTCCAGCGTCCGGCAGGTCGGGAGGGGTGGTAGCGAGTGGGGGCCCCGAGAGGGCCGGAAAGGGGGCTGGGGAAGGCAGGAGAGGGGGATGGGGAGGGCAGGCCGACCCAGCACAGCCCGGCGGGCACACGGCCAGGCCTTGGGGGCGCAGCCGCGCGAGGATCCCGCCGCCCCGGCGCTCACCTGGGAGTGCGCAGCGCGGCGGGGTCGCGGCGGTCCAGCACGCCGGGCACGCAGTTGGTGAGCTCGGTCCAGTCGGCGTGCAGCCCGCAGCTCCAGCCGGTGGAGAAGCGGGAGAAGAGCCAGGTCTCGCGGCGGTTGGGCCGGTAGCAGGTGCACTTCTTCTGGCCCGGCCGGCAGTCGCAGGGCACCTCGAGGCGGACGTTCTGCACGAGGTGGCGGCCGAAGGTGGTGCCGCCCGTCTTCTGGATGTGCAGGAAGACGATCACGTCGTCGCCCTTCATGTCGAAGCGCAGCGAGCGCTCCAGCTCGCGCACCGGGAAGTAGTACTTCTTCTCGTAGTGGGGGTCGGGCGTAGGGAACAGGTCCAGGTCGTCGGGCGGCGCGCGGCCGCCGGGCGCGCCCAGGCTCAGCCCCGGGCCCGCGTACTGGTACAGGATGAGCATGAAGCACACTGAGCCCGCCACCACCAGCACGAACTTGCTGGCGCGCTCAACCATGGTCCTGCCGCCGGCGCGCCGCCGCCGCATGTGTCACCATCGCCGGGGCCCGGGCGCGGGGCGCGGGGCGCTGGGCCTGGGAGGGCGGGGGGCGCGGGCGCTGCTGCCTCCGCTGCCGCCCGCGCTCCGGCCCAGCCCGGCTACTCGGCGCCCAGGCCGCCCGCAGCGGCGCGGGCCCCGACCCTTCACGGCGCCATGGTTGCTCCCCGCCCGGCCTCGCCTCCCGAGCCTAACGCCCGGCTCAGCTCCGCTCGGCCCCGCTCCCGGTCCCGGCCCTGGCCCGCACCGCGTGCCCCGCGCCCCCTGCACCGGCCCGCTCCGCGCCGAGAACGCTCTGCGCCGCCCCGCGCGCCGCCGCGTCTCCGCAGTCCGCCGCCGCCCCGCCCCGGCCCGCCCCCGGCCCGCCCCCGTGGCGTCTCTTGCCGTCGCCGCCCGCGCCGATCCTCGGCCCCGCCCCCGGAGTGCCTGGGGCCGCGGCGGGTGCAGGGCGCTGGGACCTGGGTCTGTCGGCAGCGGCGAGGCCGCTGGCGGGCGGGCAACCGGGGACTGGGAACCGATTCCGCCGGCAGAGGCGTGGGGGACCACCGGGCAGCGCGGAGCCCTGGCGTGGGCGGCTCTCCTGGGGCGGAGACGGGGCGCAGCTGCTGGCGCCTCAGGAGCAGGGGTTCCCTCTCCTCCCCAAGTCCCGGCCACCCGCGCCCCCGCAGCGCGCGAGGGAGGAAAGGCCTTGACCCTGCACGCCGGGGCTCTGTTTCAAACGCCGGCCGGCCAGGCTGCACTTCCAGGGACCAGGGCGGCGGGGCCCCGCGCCGCAGGGGCCAGGAAGGAGAGGGAGGCTTTGCTGCCGATCCCTCCACCCCGCGGCTGGCTTTGGGACGGTGCCCGGCAGCCCCGCTTTGAGGAGATGCTGGGCTGTCTGCAGAGGCCTGCGGACCGGCTTCATGTCTCCCTCCTTGTTTGAAAGGAATTTCAGCCAAGGTGCATTTTCCCTCTCCGTGTTTATTATATTCCAGTGAAAAAGTTATAAAACGTTGGGCCAATTCTTAAGAACCGTGAGTGCCCACCAAAGAGTCTGGCTTTCGTGGGTCGCTCGGAGAGTCCAGCGGCCCGGGCCCATCCTGGCTGTCGAGGCCTCGCTCCGCGTTGGCTCACGTGCGGGCAGGGTGGTGCGGACTCCTCACTGGCGTCCCAGGCTGGGAAGAACGCGGCATTCGTGGGGCGCCAGGAACCCACTCATGCTGCCTGGGTTCTAGCAATACTCAGACTTCATTTCATGTCCCAGCCCTTTGGAAACGCAGGAGAGGGGCTGGGTTGGGCCCGGATCTCACAGCGGCAGTGCCGCCCACGGTGGGCCCTAGTGTGTCGGCTCAGGCCAGTTTGGGCTCTGGGAGCGAGTCTGGCTGCCAGGTGTGGGCTTCCAGTGTCCACATCAAGCCCTGCTGGGGGCGGAGCGGGGGTGCCCTACCTTCTGTTAAGGTCTGGAAGCGATGATCGGGGGTCACTTATGCCTCACTAAAGCTGTTAAACATAGGCAGCATCACACCAGAAAGCCCTCCTGGAAGCAAATCCAGAGAGCTGAAAAACCCACACCCCACACCCAGCTGAGCAGGTGGCATGCAGTTTCCAAAAGCACCGCAGGGATATCCGCTGTGGACAGGGGGATGCAGCACCCTCAACACAGCCCAGCGCAGCCTGGAGTCCATGGTGTGGGGTCCTCAGTGAGACCTGGGGCCCCGAAGCCCCTGCTCCTCTTGTAGCCTGCTTTAAAACTGTCCCTGCCCCCCAGGGGGCAGTTTGGTCAGGCTTCTCCAGAAGCGACTCATTCCTGTGAGGAGTGGGGCTGCAGTCCCAGTGGGACACAAGTGAGGCCACCCTACAGTGTGCCTGGTCCTGCCTGCTTCTGCCTGCAGCCCCTCGATGCAGTCTGTGGCTAAGCCCTGGGGAGCCTTCCTGGAGGGCTGGGGGAGCAGAGCTGCCCTGGTCCACCCCCCAGATGTTCTTACCCACATAAGAATCCTCTACAAAGTGCTACATCATAACTAAGGCTGCTCTTTTGGAGACCTGCTGGGTGCCAGGCATTGTAGAGGTGTCATTTCCAATTCAGTCAGCAAGTCTGCGAGGGCAGGCTGATACCCATTTACAGAAGAGAAAACTGAGGTTCAAAGGGGTTAAGACCCTGGTTCCAGGGTCAACCACTGTCACCCTGTGAGAGTCAGCAGAGCTGGGATCCTGATGCCTGCCATAAGCCTCAGAACCCTGCCTTCCCTCACCTCTGCACTTGCCCAGCTCCCCAGGCCAGGGGTGAGGGCTGTGAGAGCGTCCACACGGGCCACTACTCACTGCCACCAAGGGGGAACACGGGCCCAGAGTGCTCAAGGGAAAGCTGGAGCAGCTCCGAAGGCCCCACCCTGTGATGATCTCACTGTCCCAAACTGAGGCCCAGGCAGGGAAGAAGGGCCTTGATAAAGTCCCAGAGCAGCCTGACCCGTGGAGGAACATCTCCTGAAGAAGCTGTTTAATCTAACTTCATACCTGCCACACTGGCTGATGGGGAGCACCCACATTAGCCAGGAAGCCCTTTCTTTCTAGAATTCTCTTAGGAGGGAAATCTGCCTGGTTGGCTATAGGACCTTGCTCAGTCTTCCATTTTGATTGAAGTCCTGCCCATACACGTGAGACCCCAAGGCTGTAGGTGAGTTTCTGGAGTCTTAAAGTCAAGTCTGATGAGCCACCCATCAGTGGACGCTCCAGCCCAGTGGAATGCAGCTCCAGCCTTCTCTGGCGCGCAGCTTGCATCACGCTACTCCCCACCACGTCTTGCTACTCCCCGCGATGAGTCCGCAGTGTCATGTTCTGGAAAATGGACAGAAACGCACAGGCCGGGGCTGGCGTGGGGTTTCAGGAGGTCAGCGGGCACAGCCAGGCCTCCAGGAGGTGCGCTCTGCGCGCTGTGTCCTTTCTTTCGTAGGTCATCTGTTCGGTGGCCAAAGTTCGCCCCAGCCGGGAGGGTGCAGGTGAACTGTTTGCTAAGGGCAGCGTCTAGCCCTGAGTGCTTGCGCAGTCCTGGGAAAAGCACTCACAGCTCTTCTGCTCAGTGGCTTTTTCCCCTGAAGATTCACTTCACCAATTATTTAATGTGTGATCTCTGACTTAGTGGCAAAGAAAAGTAAAAGAACGCGGCAGGGGCAGGCAGTGATGGTCCCAGAAAAACAAGTCACTGCACTGCTCGGACAGTGCCAGCCGCAGTAACATTGGGCTTCATGAATGAAGCCTAATTCGCGCCCACCGTGCAGTCTCAGAGTCTGAGAACCACGAGATCAACCGCGGCACCACCTCCCGGCGCACAGTCCTGCGGGCGGCCGCGCGGGGGCAGCACGCGGCCCGGCCCCCGAGCCCGTGGTTGACTTTGCAAAATTGGGGGATTTTCCACACTAGCTTCCCTCGTCGTTCGTCCGGCGGCTGCCCATTGTTATTTGCAAAGAGGAGGAGGAGGGCAGCCGCGTGCGTCCTCAGAGCCACACCTGGGGCCGGTCCCGCTGTCCACGCGGGGCGCAGAGACGTGTTTTGTTGGGGGACAAACTTTTAGAGGGGACTCCGGTTCGCGCTGACCCGCGGGGTCCGGCCTCGACCCTGACCCGGCGGCAGGCTGGGGGCGCCGAGCTGCGCGTCTTGGAGGCCGCCTCCTCCAGGGTGGCCAGCCCAGGTCCCCAGCCGCCTCCTTCAGGGAGCCCCGCGGCCCGTTTGCCGCCCAGCGGCCCGGTGCCGGGCGCCTCCTCCAGCACCGCGGGGTCCCCGGGCTGCCATGCGGCCCGAAGACGCAGCGGGTCTTCCCAGGGCCCAGGGACGCGTCCCCGCCGCTGCCCGCGGACCTCAGGCGTCCTGGTTTCGAGGGCCGCACTGGAAGAGGCCCGGGCTTCGGAAGGGCCGCTCGCTTCCCTCCACCCCCCGGGCCTCGCTACTGTTTGCGGCCTCCCTGCAGGACCTACAGGCCCGCTTCAGTCCTTATGGGAAAAGGGTGGGATAAACAGGAGAACCTGAGCAATTCGGAGGGGCAGCGGGGCCCTGGGCTTCCCCGGCCCCAGGAGGAGCCGGTGTGGGCCTTGCCCGCCTACCCTGCTGCCCGGTGACCTCCACCTCCTCCCCGTCCTCGTGGTGTGGCGTGGGGTTTCTGGCAGGTGGGGGGTTTGGTCTGCTGCCTGGCCGGGATACGAGTCTGTCCAGCGGAGACCACCCTCCTCCCCGGGTAGCTGGGCTGTGGGCAGGACCGGCGGGTTCTGCCAGCTTGGGAGGCAGGACAGGGACCTGGTAACGTTGCCCCAAGGGCATCGTCCTGGTTCTTCTGCTTGGAACTTCCCAAGGGACACGTCTTTAAACGGCCGGGGCTGAGGCGGGCCCACAGCCTGGATGGGGTGGGGGATGACTGCTGGAAGCTCCAGTGGCCAGTGGGTCTCCTCCCAGATGGCTGTCATTGTTTTCTGTGCCCAGAGGGGCTCCCACCCAGCAGGGACAGTGGAGCTTGAAAAGCTCCACTGGTGGGGAGGTTCCTTGGGGGTGGGGTGGGGTGGATAGCTGCCCTTTTGAGGGTGAAATGGTCTAGTCTGGGAAAAGCCACCCCACCACCATGGGGTGCTTGCTGCTCCCACCCCAGCTGCCTGGAGCCACCAGGGGCTGGGGCACCGGTGGGAGAAGGAGGCCTGGGTCCTGGGCCCTGATAATCCGGAAGGGTGTGCTCAGTGCCCTCCAGACAGCCTGGCTTCACCGTCGGGGCTGGGGACCAGTTCCCGCCCTGCTCTCTTCGGGGCTGTGCTGACTCACCAGCTCCCACTCCGTCTGTGGAACTCACCCAGTGCCACTGCCCTTCCTGGGGGATGACGGCCCGCCCCCATGCTCCCTGTCACCGTCACTGGCTTCTGCTCTTTTTACCTCCATTCATTGCCACTGTCATTAAAGAGTCACTAGATTATAGTTGGCCTGACAAGTCAGTTGACTGTTCTGGCGGAAGCCACCAGGGTCTTGGTGGGCTCTGGACC